TATACAAGGAAGCCAAAGCAAGAGTAATAATATATAAAACCTCAGAGTTCCCAACTAGCAAAGGAGTACGACAGGGACACCCATTATCCCCAGAGCTGTTTACGGCAGCACTAGAAGAGATCTTCTGTATACTCGACTGGTTCAAAAATGAATTAAGAATAGATGGAGAATATCTTAACTACCTAAGATTTGCTAATGACAGTGCTCTTTCATCTTCGCCAATAGTCTTGAAGAACTACAAGCACAAATTAACGAACTAAATATAGCCAGCAATAAAGTAGGTCTCAAAATGAATTTAGTAATAACTGAAGTAATGTACAACGAACTAGTGAAAAGAAAATACATTCCAGTAAATAACACAACACTGGAAATATTAGAAGAATAATGAAATAAAAGGAAAATTATTTATTGACCTAAAACGAAGAAAAAAATATATAAAAATATAATATTAGAGGTCAAAGAACATATAAAAACAAAAAAAAATTAGAAGAATACACAGGGCGAGTCTTAAATAAGTGCAAATATTTTCAGAGCTGGTAGATCTCGATAAAAGAAACATATTTTCTCTTTACCGTTTTATAAATAACTCCAAAATAACCAAGAGTTATTTTATACCAAGTTACCAAATAAAGAGTTATTTTGCTTTGAAAATTTCTAAAAAAAATGATTTTTTTGCTAAAATTTTGAGAACCACTGGATCATTTCTGGGTTTTCTTTTTTGCAAATTTAATCTACTATCTATGTTGCCATATTATCAAGAAATTATGTTTCTTAACTAAAAATTTAAAAAGTTTGCAAATTTTTTTTCAAAAAATACGGAATTTTCAAAAAACTTTTTTTGCGAAAAAAACCTCAAAGTTGTGTTTCTGGGGTCAAAATATACTACCCCTTAAAATATTTTCACTTATTTAAGACTCACCCTGTATATATTTGGAACTAATACATAACTCGGGATCTCCATTACCAGAAATTAACAGAAGAATTAAGTTGGCATAGAGTACTTATCTCAATACAAATCCAAGGAGGCAATTGAAACTCAATCATATTCAAATCTAGAATACCACTTTATCTAAAGTAGAAAACATTCGATCAATGTGTACTACCAGTCATGACATATGCATGCCAAACCTGAACACTTAAAACGGACATCATAAGGAAACTGCAGGTCGCACAACACTCAATGGAAAGAAATTATGTTGGAAATAACCAGAGAGACCGTCAAAGAATAGAGTGGATCCGACAAAGTATACCAGGATACTTTGTCGGATATAGATGTCATCCACAGGGTCAAATCCCTCAAATGGCAATGGGTAGGACACCTGGCAAGAAGAACAGACAACAGATGGACAACAAAAAGTATAGCATGGTACCCACGAGGAATTAGGAGACCTAGAAGAAGACCGAACCTGAGATGGGAACATGGCATTAGGAAATTAGCAGGGATAACTTGGGCCCGCATAGCCAACAATAGACAACAATGGGCCCAACTACAAAGAGAGTACGTGAGGGAGGCTACACCATAACTGGAAATGGTTGAATAAGCTGAAAATGATGATGATAATAATAAAATTACTAGATAGCCAGCTATAAAAAAATAATATTCTTGCTTTATCCACACCGAAGTTACAGGGTGGTTAAAAGTGCCCATACTGGCCAACGTGTACAGGGCCTATAAACCATTTTTCGTTACAACTCTACGTATCTGCACCAACGTAACTATGCTCTGGTTTGATTAAGTTAAGTTAGGTATCAAGTTGGGTTTGGTTTGATTTTTATCTTACCGTATGTGCTCGCTTGCAAAAGAGAACATAGTAAATATTTCTATCGATCAGTATCCGCCCTTATTTTAATTATATTTCTATCCGTGTTAAATAATTTTAATTTCGCCCGCTTCTATATTCAATTTGCGATTAATATTAAAGCCGCAAATTAAACGTATTATTTCCTTCTGCCGGCGATTATTTCCACTCAAATCGATTAGATTAATTTTTTAACAGTCCAATTTCAGCCAAGTTTCACGATACAATGCCCCCGGCCTGCGGCGATGTGCAATCTCTGGCTTGCACAATCGCACTTGCCTAATAGTACCACCGCAAACGGTACGGTGAATACGCCATAGTACAAACAGAACTGTCTAGACCGCTTGACTCCCGATTAGTCAGACCATCGATTCCCGTGATTTGTCGTTGCTAAATTTAACAGTTCTTCCAGGGAATGATTACTCGTATGTCATCAGCCTATAAACATTTATTTCCGGACGAATAAAAAATAATTTACATGAGGGACCATATTTTGACAGTTTGATTTGATGTTTTACTTGACGCTTTTGAATTTGGTATGCATTTTTGAGCTTTTTTTATGAGTGTTATTTTGTGTTTTCTGAGTCTTATTTTATTTTAGAATTGGATTTATGCAATATGTACAAATTTCGAAAGATATTGTACCAGAACTTCAATTAAAGGAAGATCATTATGAGTCTTCAGAAAAAAGTGTAAAAAACAGTTATGCAGAATGCGACCGTTCCCAGACAAAAATTTATGAACAATAATGTAATAACTTAGTAACTCTAATATATCTTACGAGTAGTAAACCAATCAATTATGAAATTAATTTAGAATAAGTTAATTATGCTGTTATTCTTTTACTTTCGCATGTTCGCGTATTCAGTACTTGTCAAAAATCAGTTATATTCTCTGATTCATCAAGTGCCCTAAAGAAGATAAGCAAAACTGGAATAGACGCTGAAACGGACGAATTAACACTGGTCACAAGACGGAAAACAAAAGGGACGTACAATTAGGATGGATACCAAGTCATACCAATATTTATGGAAATGAGGAAGCAGAAAAGTTGGCCAACGTTGGACGGCTCTTACCTCCCACACTAACACCCAAAGCAGATTATAAAATCTTTATACTAAAAATGAAAGAATTCATATATAATAAATGGAAAGAAAGATTTGTAGCGATTGGTAGAACGAAAGGGAAAGAATATTGCACTACAGTTCAGCAGCCATACAGGATACCATGGTTCAAACAATATAAATCCTTGACAAAGCAACAAATAACCACCATGTGTCGACTCAGATCAAACTATTGCTTATCCCCGTCACATCTCTATAAAATCAGAATTAATAGAGATAATTTGTGTCAGTGTGGAGAGGCTGCTGATGTCTTTCATTTGATAATTGCTTGTCTACATAATTATAATCACCAACAAATCTTATATTCCTATTTCGACAATGAGATAGAGCAAAAACCGATTTCTCTGCATGACATCCTTTTTAAATTTAACAAGACAGAACACATAAAACAAATCGCTTTGTTTTTGAATGTTAGTAATTTAAAACTCTAAATATTTACTAAGCTACTTTAACAAGCCTAACATTAACTTTATAATCAAGAAAAAAAACTAGCCGTAAATTGGAAATGTCATAAACACATTTTCTTGAAATGTACAGTAATTATTGGGACTTAGAGCTGCAGCTTCAATCGTAGAATGCATGCATAACTGAATAGTTGCAGAGCTTAAAGCAACTTGTTTAATAATTAACTCAATAATTGTTGAAAAGGAGAGATTGAGAAGAAAGAAGAATTAGGGTACGTCAATTTGACTTAATTGTTTCAGTAGCATATCTGTATTTTTTTTATTGTTTGTATTTTTTTATTAAATAAGTATTTTAAATTCTTTATGTTTATTTGAAGTATATTTTTTAACAATTTAAATAGAATGTAGAATGAGGAAGAGGGGGGGGGTGAATCACCGCGATCTTAAAGATCTATTGTGTTTCCATTTCTCCCTTTCTTGAGTTATAGCTCATTATACTGTCTAGAACTCATCATACATGGGGATCTTTCTATTGTAGGGGGGACAGGGTAGTTTCCATGCTCCTCTGACACCAGATATTCATCCTCCGAGGAGTGAGCATCTACTGAGCCCTTCCCAGTCGAGTGGCTTGTCTCCGACTGAGGTACACATGAGGAGGAGGCTAGAGGATCTGTCTCCACCTCGTGGGTACCAGGATTTTCTCCACCTCTTTAACTTGGTCTCTCCTTACACCTGATACCCGTGTTGTCCCGAATCTATAATAGAGGATATATCCCTCTTTCTTTATTGCCTCTTTGGATTTGAGATCAATTACACTGCAAGGGTTAGTCGGTCCACTTCTACAGAGCTCCGCATGTAGAAGTAAGTGAGACAAGAATACAACGGATTGCCCCTTGGTGCTCCAAGATTGAGATCCGTAGAGACTAGTCTTCTATCTTGCCACGCATACCTTTGTCCTGGTCCCGGCTTCATAGGATTTAAGTTTTTGGTGAGGTTGTCTCCTCTTGGTCCGGGCGGTAAAGCTAAGACTCCCTACACCCTCTGCCCATGATAGATGACCACAGACAGTAGAGGATGCCTGGTATGACGGACAGGGTTGTCCCATCCGGCATCGTTATACGTCTTGGTGCAATTCCCTGGGCACGACACTACAGCCAGGGACAAGACAATGAGATGCTCCTTGGACCTAGCCAAAGTGCCAGAGGGAATTCCCCCTAGCACCTGACTAGGAGCTTCCTCATCAACGACTAAAGCTTGATTTTCATGCATCCGTTGTCCAACGATACGATGATACGATATTAATTTTATTGGTTGAATTTAAAGACTTCGTTTGTTTAGAAACGGTTAACCAATTGAAGCCTTTAAATTCAACCAATGAAATTAATATCATATCAACGTATCGTCGGACAACGGATGCATGAAAATCAAGCTTAAGTCTCGCATCTCCTAGAGGAAGAACAATTTAAATAACTAATGACCTTTAATAATTTAAAGTAAAACACAACCACTAAATTATTTAGTCTACCCTACTTTATAGATTAAATTTAAACATAACGTCTCTTAACATTAAAGCTCCATCGCGGTAGGGATCATTTTATTCATATTATTGTTCCTTAAATAATTTATTCAATGTTCTGGTATAATTTAATAACCTTGTTAAATATCATGTGAAACTCTTGACGGCTGTTGTCAAATTAAATGTAGTATTTTAGCACTGTATTTCTAAATTTCTGTAAACATCTATACATTAAACCATGGCAGAGGACGATGAGTTTAATAACGATCTCGACGATGACTACCAACCAAGATCTAGAAAAAAGAAATCGCGATCTAATGAACCTAATCCAAACAAGAAATGTCGTCCTAGAATTGATCAGCTTGCAATCCCCAGTCGCAGGCTCATTCTAGCTTTGTATCAAGACCACGGCTACCACTTACCCAGAGAAAAGGTCGAAAAAATAAAAATACTTTTACAAGAACTGTACGCTATGACACCGGAAGAGACGGAACGGTATTTTGCCCATATAAAGAAAAAATCAGCCGATGTTTCTAGAAGAAAAGACATTAAATTTATGTTGAAGAAACTAGTGAAAAGAAAGAAAAAGGAGCAGCAGCACAAGCAAGCCTATGAATTACTTTATCGTTTATTCGTTTCTGGTATGGAGTTTGCGGTCAAAACTCCTGTGCCACCTTTGGTTTCTGTCAGATTAAGAAACCTTTCCAACATAATTCTGGAGCAGATTTGTAACTTGAGAAACGTCGACATACCGGCCAGGGAAGATTCAGATCAGTTTGGCAGTTTCCTCATTAAAGTTGCCGATTGGATGGCTATAGTCATTGAGCATTTGTATTACGGAATACATCTAAAGAAGAACGCAGAACTGCAGATAATCGAAAACGAGCATAAAAAGAAGAAATTGGACGAAGCAGCTTCTGAGCATAAAACCGAAGAAACTAAGGATGATAATGAAGATAATGAGGCCGAGCTAAACGATGAAATTGAATAATAAATCAACAAAGAAAAAAAATAAGGTAAAGGAAAAAAGTGAGACAGTATTGTATGAATGAACGTCTAAGATAATGTAAATGAAGAAGTTGTATCAGCATCAAGTGCCTGTGTTCAAATAAAATAAAAACTTTTTATATTATGTCTTAATTTATGTTATATTGGTGTATTACTTACTTGAGATATTACCTTTCTATATTTTTATACATTAACTCCTTTTGCAGTAAAACTGATGTAAAAAATAAATTAATAATTATTTTATATACTTGCTGTTAGTTATTAATAAAACATAATTTGACCCGCATTATAAATATTTGAAATGGCGTTCGCAGGTTTAGAACCAAGAATTAGACAACCTTTTTTTTTAAATTACCGAGGTTTCGACGTGTGTTTTCGTCTTTATCAAAAAATGATCCTAAACCTGCGAACGCCATTTTATCTGTAACATAAGGACGTAAATCTACAACATTATTATAAATATTTGTACCTTAATCTATTTTTTTATAGAATTTAAAATTCCAAAAAACAACAACTGTCTTAGACAGTCTAATAATATAATTTTGTGTGCACTATTCTTAAAATCATAGAGGAAGATTTACAGATATTGTCAATGAAATGAAGTAGTATCAAGACCACGCAGTAGAGGATCCACGGGGGGGACATGAACGCATTAAACAAGTTGCAACAATAGAGACACCTTAGACAACTTTGACAACTTTTAAGAATCAAATAATTCCACCATGTCTCAAACGTATCGGTACTTGAAAAAGCTGTCTGCGAGAGTGCTGAAGTCATAGATAACATATGTGTTTATGTGTTAACAACACGAACAGTGTTGTTTTAATATGTGAAATGTGAACGTGTGTGTAGATTAATTTTAATAGTATTTGTCTGATGATGCTCGTATGATCGAAACACGTGTCACTCTTTAACATTATATAACCGTTGAGACCGAGACTTTGAGTCTTTTTTCTACCTTTTTTAATTTAAAACAGACAAAGCTGAAGTCATGATTACTAAATCCCGCTCAAGATAGGCTGGTCACGTATGCAGAATGCCAGACGATAGAACCCAATGGAGAAGAACTGTAAACTTAGTTAACAACGATAACCAAAAAGTATAGAGGCAACAAAGTGATTAAATGTTTGAATGTTTGGAGTGCGGAAGGGAGATAACAACGTATCGGGCTTTTTAGTCATAGAAAAGCTCACGAAAGAAAACGCCCCGCGTAATCAACTTCTAAGACGTATCAAAATACTCGTCAGCGGGTAATGGTAGTAAGTAAGTAAAAGGAAGATATACAAATATTGTCGATGAAATGAAGAAACAGCAGAACACATTTTGTAGCAGTGCGAAAGTCCGGTTCTACAGCGTGAATGGTATATATTGTTTTATTATCGAGCGGTATGCCCATTTCACTACATTTTTGTCTTCATTGGTCCAATGTTGCAACTAAGTAAATGTTGAATAAAAATGGAGATAGACCACATACTTGTCATAGGCCCTTACTTATTTTAAATGATGTTGTGAGTTCGTCTCTAAATTTAACACGTGCTAGCGGGTCCTTGTAGATTTTCTTTGTTGCTTTTATTAGGGTAATATTTATTGGTGACCGGTTGAGTATGTGAAAAAGTTGTTTTATTGGAATAGAATCATACGCTTTGGTTAGGTCTACAAAAATCATGTGTATCTCTCCATCTATAGCTAACGTTTTCTCACTTAGTTGTGTTATGTGCTATAACTCTCTCCTGAAAAGGAGAGTTTGAGAAGAAAGAAGAATTAGGGTACGTCAGTTTGACTTAATTGTTTCAGTAGCATATCTGTATTTTTTTTATTGTATGTATTTTTTTATTAAATAAATATTTTAAATTCTTTATGTTTATTTGAAGTATATTTTTTAACAATTTAAATAGAATGTACAATGAGGAAGAGGGGGGGGGGTGAATCACCGCGATCTTAAAGATCTATTGTGTTTCCATTTCTCCCTTTCTTGAGTTATAGCTCATTATACTGCCTAGAACTCATCATACATGGGGATCTTTCTATTGTAGGGGGGACAGGGTAGTTTCCATGCTCCTCTGACACCAGATATTCATCCTCCGAGGAGTGAGCATCTACTGTGCCTTTCCCAGTCGAGTGGCTTGTCTCCGACTGAGGTACACATGAGGTGGAGGCTGGAGGATCTCTCTCCACCTCATGGGTACCAGGATTTTCTCCACCTCTTTAACTTGGTCTCTCCTTACACCTGATACCCGTGTTGTCCCGAATCTATAATAGAGGATATATCCCTCTTTCTTTATTGCCTCTTTGGATTTGAGATCAATTACACTGCAAGGGTTAGTCGGTCCACTTCTACAGAGCTCCGCATGTAGAAGTAGGAATTAGACAACCTTTTTTTTTAAATTGCCGAGGTTTCGACGTGTGTTTTCGTCTTTATCAAAAAATGATCCTAAACCTGCGAACGCCATTTTATCTGTAACATAAGGACGCAAATCTACAACATTATTATAAATATTTGTACCTTAATCTATTTTTTTATAGAATTTAAAATTCCAACAAACAACAACTGTCTTAGACAGTCTAATAATATAATTTTGTGTGCACTATTCTTAAAATCATAGAGGAAGATTTACAGATATTGTCAATGAAATGAAGTAGTATCAAGACCACGCAGTGGCGGATCCACGGGGGGGATATGAACGCATTAAACAAGTTGCAATAATAGAGACACCTTAGACAACTTTGACAACTTTTAAGAATCAAATAATTCCACCATGTCTCAAACGTATCGGTACTTGAAAAAGCTGTCCGCGAGAGAGCTGAAGTCATAGATAACATATGTGTTTATGTGTTAACAACACGAACAGTGTTATTTTAATATGTGAAATGTGAACGTGTGTGTAGATTAATTTTAATAGTATTTGTCTGATGATGCTCGTATGATCGAAACACGTGTCACTCTTTAATATTATATAACCGTTGAGACCGACACTTTGAGTCTTTTTTCTACCTTTTTTAATTTAAAACAGACAAAGCTGAAGTCATGATTACTAAATCCCGTTCAAGATGGGCTGGTCACGTATGCAGAATGCCAGACGATAGAACCCAATGGAGAAGAATCGTAAATTTAGTTAACAACGACAACCAAAAAGTATAGAGGCAACAAAGTAATTAAATGTTTGAATGTTTGGAGTGCGGAAGGGAGATAACAACGTATCGGGCTTTTTAGTCATAGAAAAGCTCACGAAAGAAAACGCCCCGCGTAATCAACTTCTGATACGTATCAAAATACTCGTCAGCGGGTAATGGTAGTAAGTAAATAAAAGGAAGATATACAAATATTGTCGATGAAATGAAGAAACAGCAGAACACATTTTGTAGCAGTGCGAAAGTCTGGTTCTACAGCGTGAATGGTATATATTGTTTTATTATCGAGCGGTATGCCCATTTCACTACATTTTTGTCTTCATTGGTCCAATATTGCAACTAAGTATATGTTGAATAAAAATGGAGATAGACCACATACTTGTCATAGGCCCTTACTTATTTTAAATGATGTTGTGAGTTCGTCTCTAAATTTAACACGTGTTAGCGGGTTCTTGTAGATTTTCTTTGTTGCTTTTATTAGGGTAATATTTATTGGTGACCGGTTGAGTATATGAAAAAGTTGTTTTATTGGAATAGAATCATACGCTTTGGTTAGGTCTACAAAAATCATGTGTATCTCTCCATCTATAGCTAACGTTTTCTCACTTAGTTGTGTTATGCAGAAAATATTATCTATCGTCGAACGACCGGCTTTGAAATCCGATGGCTCTTCTGTCTGGTACTTAATCACCTGTTAATCATTGATACACTTTTCAAAGAGTAATTTTATAATTTTGTGAAGTTTTGGTGTGCCACATTTTATTAATTCGTTGGGGATTCCCCCTGGGCCGACTGATCTTTTTTTTTAAGTTGGGTAACTGCCGTTCTTAATTGGTCTAATTCGATGTTTTAATTTTTTCACCTTCTAAATTAAATGGTAGTTCTTCTGGTTGTAATTTATATTCATCTCTGTGTTCATTTAACATTTTTTCAAAATATTCCTTCCAGCTATCTTTCGCAATTACATTAAGCTTTAGCTTGTTTTTTTATTATTTCGAATGAAATTTATGAATTTCCGGGATTCTGATGTTCTTCTTCCTCCTATGCAGCTCTATGCAGCTAGAACAATAGTCACCTTTTAAAATCTAATCTATCTATACTGATATTGACCAGTTAACGAGCGTTGCAGCACAAAACGTATAAATACCTCGAAGGCCACCGAGTGACATTGAGAGCCTTGCGAACCGGTAACGTCGTCTCACCCTGTTTCATGGCGCCTGCAGCCGCGTTATGTGACAGGAGAGCAGCACTGCTGCAGCTATTTCCGTACAGTGGAAGAGAGGAGAGGACCGGCCTAAGATCGCCCATATTTTCTGCTCCTACTGGCCTACATTCGCGGTTCTTTAACCCCGCCAGCGAAGCTTAAAGCACCGCGTGTCCTGATTTCCTAGGCGCGTGGAGCTAAAAGTCGGGAAGTTTTGACGTAGTACAGCTAGTCGAATATAGGATTAGATTAGATTTTATGAAATTACTAATAGTCTGGATTCACCTTTTCCTATCTATTGTGGTCCATCCTTTTCTTATTTCTAAACTACATTTTCCAGTCGTATTACATACATACATACTGACCTAACCTAACCTATAACCATTACTCGCTGACGAGTGTTTGACACGCATCAGAAGATGGTCACGCAAGGCGTTTTCTTTCAAGAGCTTTTCTGTGACTGAAAAGCCCGATACGAGGGAACCTGAGGACTCAGGAATCAGAAGTCGGAAACACAAGCCGTTAGAAAACTAAAATTAATCCATATGATATTACCTGACTTATACAATAATTCAAAGTTGATGAATTATTGCTAGTCAAATTTCTTTAATATTATTTTGAATGATATATTACCCTAGAAAAAAATAGGAGGATAACCTACAAAAAGAAATGGGATCTCATCAAAAACATAGAATGTAAAAAATGACAAGTCTTGCAACACAATTCTTCCATTTTAAAAAGTTGTGAGATCCCATATCAAACCAAATCAGTTTATTTTATTTGGTTTGTTTTAAAGCGCCCATTCAACAATTTTGTTATAAATTGTTAGTAGTATCAATATTAGACATCTTTATTTCTGTAATAATTATAATAACTTGGCAATTGCACAGAACTATAATTAAAAAAGAAT